CCGCATCATCCTCAGGCTCCGGCCCACGGCACCACTCCGGCGAGCAACCCCCAGATCGCCCCCCCAAGCATTGGCGCCCGGAGATGCCGCGCTACGATGGCAAGACTGATCCTCTCACCTTCATCAACAAGTGCGAATCCTTTTTCTTGCAGCAGCGGATTATGCCGGAGGAGCGCGTCTGGATGGCTTCGTACAACCTCCACGACGACGCCCAGCTGTGGTTCATGCAAATTCAGGAGGATGAGGGCACTCCGACATGGCCATGCTTCAAGGACCTCATCAATCTGCGGTTCGGGCCACCGCTCCGCTCGACTCCGCTCTTCGAGCTCTCGGCCTGCCGCCGGACCGGGACGGTCGCGGAGTACTCGTCGCAGTGGCAGGCGCTGCTGCCCCGCGCGGGCAAACTGGAGGAGGCCCAGAAGATCCAGCTCTACACCGGCGGGCTCCTGCCACCGCTTAGCCTCCAAGTCCAGATGCAGAACCCCCAGTCCGTGGCGTCCGCCATGAGTCTGGCACGGCAGTTCAAGCTCATGGCCGAATACACGACCGCGCCGGCCAAGGCTCCGGGCCGCGGCGTCCTGGGCGCCCCACAAGCGCGTCCGGCTCTGCCGGCACCCCCGCCGCACCCTGACAAGACACCGGCGGTCACCAACCAGGGCGAGGGCCGCCAGGCGAAGCGCCTCACCAAGGAGGAACAGGCGGAACGCCGCCGCCTTGGCCTCTGCTACAACTGCAACGAGAGCTACACCCGGGGGCACAACCGTGTTTGCCGGCGCATCTTCCACATTGCCGGGGTGGAGCTCGACGACGACGCCGCCGCCGACGCTCATGAGGAGCCGACCACGGAATCGCCGGTCTTCTCCCTGCACGCGGTGGCCGGCGTACCGCGCGGCGGGACGCTGCAGATCGCAGTCACCATCGGCGGTGCGCCACTCGTCGCCCTCCTCGACAGTGGGTCGACCCACAACTTCATCTCTGCCAGCGCCGCGCCACGCACGAGGCTTCCGGTGGAGTCCAGACCGCGGCTCACGGCGGTCGTCGCCAACGGCGAGCGCGTCGCGTGTCCGGGCGTCATCCGCGCCGCGCCAGTCGTCATCGACGGCACCAACTTCGACATCGACTTGTTTGTAATGCCTCTTGCAGGGTACGATTTGGTGCTGGGCACCCAGTGGATGGCCACCCTTGGCGAGATAGTCTGGGACTTCGCCACGCCGTCTATGGCGTTCCACCTCCACGGGCACGCCTTCCGCTGGACCGGGGTGACGTCTGCTGCTGCACCATCGCTCCTCTCTACGGTGGCCAGCGCGTCCCTCCTCGACGAGCTGCTGGCGTCGTTCGCGGACGTCTTCGCCGAACCCGTGGGCCTACCACCCCCCCGCGGCCGCGATCACGGCATAGTCCTCAAGCCGGACGCGGCGCCGGTGGCCGTCCGACCATACCGGTACCCGGCGGCCCACAAGGACGAGCTGGAGCGGCAATGTGCCGCCATGATCCACCAGGGCATCGTTCGCCGCAGCGACTCCGCGTTCTCATCGCCGGTCCTCCTCGTCAAGAAAGCCGACGGCACCTGGCGCTTCTGCGTTGACTACCGCGCCCTGAACGCCCTCACCGTCAAGGACGCGTTCCCCATCCCCGTCGTCGACGAGCTCCTGGACGAGCTTCATGGGGCGCGCTTCTTCACCAAGCTCGACCTTCGGTCGGGGTACCACCAGGTGCGGATGCGACCGGAGGACATCCACAAGACGGCGTTCCGCACCCATGACGGCCTCTATGAGTTCCTGGTCATGCCGTTTGGGTTGTGCAACGCCCCGGCAACCTTCCAGGCGCTCATGAACGACGTCCTCCGCGATCACCTCCGCCGGTTTGTACTTGTCTTCTTCGATGACATATTGATTTACAGCAATACTTGGGCCGATCACCTTCGCCACCTCCGCGTCGTCCTCACCATCCTGCGCCAGCATCGCCTGTTCGTGAAGAAGACCAAGTGCTCGTTCGGAGTCAACTCCGTCGGGTACCTGGGCCACACCATCTCGGCGTCGGGTGTGGCATTGGACCCCGCTAAGGTCCAGGCCATCCACGAGTGGCCACAGCCCCGCTCCGCGCGTGCCGTGCGCGGCTTCCTCGGCCTGGCGGGCTATTACCGGAAGTTCGTCCACAACTTCGGCTCCATCGCCGCTCCCCTCACCGCGCTCCTGAAGAAGGACGGGTTCACATGGACTGCCGACGCCGCGGCAGCCTTCCTCGCCCTCAAGGAGGCCGTGACGACCGCGCCTGTGCTGGCGCTCCCGGACTTCGCCAAGCCCTTCATCGTGGAATGTGACGCGTCCACGTATGGCTTCGGGGCGGTCCTCATCCAGGACGGCCACCCGATCGCGTTCTTCAGTCGGCCGGTGGCGCCCCGCCATCGCTCCTTGGCAGCCTATGAGCGCGAGCTCATTGGTCTCGTTCTCGCCGTCCGCCACTGGCGGCCATACTTGTGGGGGCGCCGCTTCTACGTCAAGACGGACCACTACAGCCTAAAATACCTCCTCGACCAGCGCCTCGCCACGATTCCCCAGCACCACTGGGTGGGCAAGCTGCTGGGATTTGATTTCACCGTGGAGTACAAGTCCGGCGCGACGAACACGGTGGCTGACGCCCTGTCCCGCCGGGACACCGAGGAGGCTTCCCTGAGCACGATCATGGCGGTCTCGGGACCCCGCTTCGACTTCATCGACCGCCTCCGCCAAGCTCAAGCCAGGGACCCGGCTCTGGTGGCGATCCACGACGAAATCGTCGCTGGCACACGGGCGGCGCCGTGGGCGATCACGGACGGCCTCATCACCTACGACGGCCGCCTCTACATACCGCCAACATCTCCGCTGTTGCCAGAGATCGTGGCAGCGGTCCACGACGATGGGCATGAAGGGGTCCAGCGCACACTACATCGCCTCCACCGCGATTTCCATTTTCCAAACATGCGTCGATGTGTGCAGGACTTCGTTCGGGAGTGCATCACGTGCCAGAGATATAAGACGGAGCACCTCCACCCCGCCGGACTACTGCTGCCGCTGCCCGTTCCCACCGTCGTCTGGGCTGACATCGGGCTCGACTTCGTGGAGGCGCTGCCCAGGGTAAACGGGAAGTCGGTGATCCTCTCCGTCGTCGACCGCTTCAGCAAATATTGCCACTTCATCCCGCTGGCGCACCCGTACACTGCCGAGACCGTGGCGTAGGCGTTCTTCAACGACATCGTGCGCCTCCATGGTATGCCGCAGTCCATGGTCTCGGACCGTGACCCGGTGTTCACCTCGCTGTTTTGGCGCGAGTTGATGAGGCTGATGGGCGCCAAGTTGCACATGACGTCCGCCTTCCACCCTCAAGCAGACGGCCAGACGGAATCGGCAAACCGCGTCATCGTCATGTACTTACGGTGTTTCACCGGCGACCGCCCCCGGCAGTGGCTCCGGTGGCTTCCCTGGGCCGAGTACGTCTACAACACGGCGTACCAGACTTCACTCCGGGAGACTCCGTTCCGCGTCGTCTACGGCCGCGACCCACCCACCCTCCGTTCATACGAGCCGGGCGAAACCCGGGTGGCTGCCGTGGCACGTGACATGGAGGAACGAGAAGCCTTCCTCGCCGACGTCCGATATCGCCTGGAGCAGGCGCAGTTGGTGCACAAGCGCCACTATGACCGTCAGCATCGCCACGTTTCGTACCAGGTGGGTGATTGGGCGTTGCTGCGTCTTCGCCAGCGCACCATGTCTTCACTGCCACAAGCTACCTCCGGCAAGCTCAAGCCGCGCTTCATCGGGCCGTACCTCGTCACGGAGTTGATCAATGACGTCGCCGTCCGGTTGGCTCTTCCTCCCCAGGCGCGCATCCACGACGTTTTCCATATCAGCGTTCTCAAGAAGTTCGTCGGCGTCCCTCCAGCAGCGCTGCCAGAGCTGCCCCCCATCCACCACGGCGTGGTCACGCCGGAGCCGGCTCGCGTGGAACGGGCCCATCTAGCGCGCGGCGTTCGTCAACTTCTCGTGCACTGGCGTGGCGAACCGGCCGAATCAGCTACTTGGGAAGACCTCGACGCCTTCCGCGAGCAGTATCCTCAGTTCCAGCTCGAGGACGAGCTGATTCGCGAGGAGGGGAGAGATGTCATGTGGGGCACGGCCTATACACGGCGTCGCCGGGCGCGAGATGTGCGGAGAGCTGCGGAGCGAGCCGCAGCGCGTGTCGCGGCGCAGAGCGCGATCACCGTGACCGTGGATGGCAAGGACGGGCTCAGTGGCTAGGATCGGAGTAGCCTTGATTCTAGGAGGGTTTGTTTCCAAGTTGTTAGCGTTTATTTCCAAGTTAGTTAGCCGGAGGGCTATATACTCTTGTACCGAAATATTTGAGAGGAAAGCATGAAAGTTATCGTCTAATCTCCCTCTTATTCTGTTAAGCCACTAGCTGAGGGGTATAACCTCGCAGGTGAGGACTGGAGCGCGACTACGAGTTACGTAGTCACGGCCCGCCGTCGTTGAGCGCCCAGGCGCTTGACAGTCATCATTTCTATTGCATTTAACATGTATCCATACATCCCACAGCAAAGCATGGGACGTCATCTAGTTTACAATATGGTTTGACCATTCGTTAGTGATTAATGATAATAATCGTATTTGTGACATTATATTTTGGTAAATTGTCTTGAAATTAATTAAGTCGATATATTTTTCTTGAACACATTGAAGTCAATATAATAAACTATAGTGCAGTTACTCTTCTTTTATAAACCATTGACAATTTTGCTAAGTATTGTAAAATTTTGTCCTCAATAGATAAGAGATTTGCATGTTGCCAAAACAATAGAAGACATTGGATTTTACGGAGGCTTTGTAGGTAAGAACCCCTCCAAACAATTTCAATATGGTTATATCCAATGATTAGATGTGTCAAGCTCCAGTTGTTATATAAGTAATAATCATTCTTTTGTACTCAGTCATCCAGCATCGATGTCATGTTCTTAATATTTGTAGGTGCTTCATATATGCTTGGTAGAGCTTTAACTTCAACTATTTGGGGGATGGTAGCAGATCGTATCGGCAGGAAGCCGGTTATTGTGTTTGGAATTTTCTTCACGTTAGAAATTTTTTTCTCTATTTGTATTGCACCTATTCTTTGTTACCTTCATTTGATTCATTGTATTGCACTAAATATCTTAGGCTGGTATTTAATACTTTGTTTGGGCTAAGCACGCAGTACTGGATGGCAATAACTACACGTTTTCTTGTTGGATCATTGAATGGTTTACTTGGCCCAATAAGAGTATGATTACTGACTGAATCAGAACTCTATTAGATATTTAAGGATGTTAAGTTTAGTAACTTGGGTCTTTGATCTTTATAGGCTTACACTACTGAAGTTTGTCGGCCTGAGCATCAAGCTATTGGATTGTCACTTGTAAGCATACAATATTTTATAGAAATATGTTTTCACTACTCGCTAATGCAACAACTCAATTTATGATGTTTGTTCCTCTCCATTATTAGGATAGCACATCATGGGCAATGGGTCTTATTATTGGATCAGTTATTGGTGGATATCTTGCACAGGTATAAAAAATATTAGTGATATAGGAATTTAATATGCACTTATCCACTAATATTATTATGACACTGTTATTTTGTCTGATAGCCAACGGAAAAATATCCAAAGTTATTTCCTGGCAACTCACTATTCGGAAGGTATTTAGTATCACATATGAATACGGTTATAATACATTTATTAAAAAAAACAGTTACAATAGACAAGTGGCTTCAACTTACTGTTTTTAAAAATTCTTTTCATAGGTACCCGTACTTATTACCTTCCTTATGTATATCGGTCTTCTGCTTTATTATCTTTATAAGCTGCATGTGGCTCCCGGTATGTGCAACCTTTCTATGTTATTTTGCTAAATATTCGATGTGATGCACACTTATGTATGTTTTTGCAAATATATAAAATAGTATTACTTTTTCTACTTGAAAATCCATAAGAAGATATATAGAATTACAATGGAAAACAAATGTTTGAATATTTAAGCACGAATTTTGCAATTAACAGGAGCTGTTGGGTGATTAAGCAATGAAATGTCACATGTGGAGTGGTTGTTTGAGTATGGCATATTTTTAACTTGTATGCTTTCATCGAAGATTGGAAGCATAAACAATATATGGATTAGTTATTAAAAGAAATTGCATGACATAATATTTCAGGAGACACTGCATGATCTCAAAGTCCACAAAAAGGACGATGGACCAATTGAATCTCCGGTTGCACATTTTGCCAAATCTGAAGAACTTCTTGAGCAACATATTACTCCAACTATAAATAAGAATTTGTTTAAGAATTGGCCATTGATGTCATCTATCATTCTCTACTGTATCATCTGCTTTGATGATATGGCATATACAGAGGTGTGTATTTAACTACTTTTTAGCAATAATATCTATGGTGGTGCTTTTAAAATATATGGATTTTTAATAGAAACAATGTAATATAGTGTTTATCATCTACCAGCAAACACAAGCATTGACAAAAGGCATAACTAAACATCCATACTTCTTTGATTATGGTAATACAAAAGCTGAGACCAACTAAAAATATATATTGGTTGCCTAAATCAATACATATAGTAGGAGCTTCCCCTATGGTTTCTAGGTCGAAAAAAGAACTTCCATATAGTTATATATTCCAATGCCTTTACTGCAATTAATAATACTTATAGTTCTTGTTACCTGATCCAAATAGCTACATTTTTTCTCAGTATTTATTTTTCTAGTCATTATTGCATTTAATCATTTCATTTAAATTCAACTTTATATGGGTACAATAAAATGAAATAGAGAGATATGTATAGCCTTTAGGCTGTCTCCACTAAGTTGATGAGTTGATTATAGATATTTCTTTATGCAAAGAATGTTTTGTTTCTATGGAATTTCTCTAACGTTTCAAGTCACATTTTAGATATTTTCTCTATGGTCTGAAAGTGATAAAAAGTATGGTGGGCTAAGTTTCTCCCCTGAGGATGTTGGTCAAGTACTTGCAATTTCAGGTAAATTCTATTCATAATTGCACTTTCCATGTCAACTTTTTAATTACATATCACCAATACCAATTGTCTTAAACGATTTCATCTTATATTTTCTCTTTCTATAGGTGTGAGTGTTATGTTGTATCAAACATTTATTTATCCTAATATTGAGAAAATTCTTGGACCAATCAATACTTCTCGTGTTGCAGCGGTGAGTTCAATATTGCAAGTTAGCATGATTTTTTTTACATATGTTTAAAAAAATTGTACATATCATGATTAAATTTTGCAGGTTCTATCTATGGTTTTGCTTTTTACTTACTCACCTATGACGCACCTCCCAAGACCTTGGGTTCAAATAGTACTAAATATTGTTTCGGTACTTAAAAGTAATCTTGTTGTGAGTATCAACATGCTTGAAATATTTATTGATATTGCAACATATATTTGTTTTGTTTCTCTATGTATTAGAGCAAGAAAAAATTTAAATATCAACAACAATATAGGTATATATTTCTTGCTTTTGTTGAACATATTTCATAACAACATTTCATGTTTTTTGATTCTCTAGAAAAAGAAAATGTTTGTTTATAAAGAATGTTTCTATAATAATTAGAAAAATACATGAAATTATCAATGTCACATAGCCAAATTTTAATTTATGAGTTCACCTAAAGAGTTTTTCATAGGATTATTGCAATTGGATGTTATATCTGATTTCTTTTCAATATCTGAAAGAAGCACAAAAATATAGCATGGGTCAATATCTTAATTACTAACATATTTTTCCTATTGTTATGGTTATTAGGTCACCATTGTTACTTGCACGTACATACTTCAAAATGATTCTGTGGTATGTGCCACTATATCATAGTTTAATTCCTTCAGTTTTATTATAATATCTTCTTTTTAAGACATTGTCCCTCAATGGAACCATAAGACCCAAGATCAAAGAGGAACGGCAAATGGTTTAGCCACCACTCTAATGTCCTTTTTCAAGGCATTTGCTCCAGCAGGAGCTGGTATTGTGTAAGTATTATTTTATTTCTAGTGTTTATGTTTGTAGGAAAATAAGCATCAATTCTAACTTACGAATTTCAAATGGCATGAAGCTTTCATTCCAAAAATGTGCACTAGATATGTTCCCTTTTGGAGGCTGTTAAGTAATTTACATTTTTTTTTATTCAACTTGGTATACATTTGGAATGTACAAGTGCCAATCTGGTATAAAATAGTCATCTGTTAATGCAGGTTTTCATGGGCGCAAAAGCGTCAACATGCTTTCTTCTTTCCAGGTATTGTGAACTAGTACTATTTGTGGAAATAACTTTAAAACTTCACATTCTTAAATAAATAATATTATGAATCTTGTAATATGACTAAAATTTAGGGGGTATTTGACACAGCTTCAGATCTAAGACTTTTTAGAGCTGGGTATTCCTAGCTCCATAAATCCATGGATTTGTATCTACAATATATTTATAACATTTGGACGAATCATTTTATTTAAATTTTAGATGAAATATAAAATTTTAAACCAATATAATTTAACATACAAACTTCAAATCAAGTGTGGATCTGAGATCTGGAGTTGTGCCCAATAGGACCTTAGACACTGGTACACACTGTCTGGTTTGTTCTCAAATTCTTTCCTTCGCCATATGATAATTTCATATCATGTAGTCTATTTGATCTTCTCTACCCATTTTATTGTTAACTTTCTTTTTTGGGTATGTAGGTGATCAAATGGTGTTCTTCCTTTTGTTCATTGTCGAGTTTGTTGGGCTGGTTTGGACATTCAAGCCTTTTCTTGTTATGCCAGAAAAACTTTCTTTAAACTATTCCTCCAACTGAGATAGAGTTTCTTGAGAAGTTCTGTGACATGGACTACAAAGAGTTTGTATCTCCTAGGTAATTAAGGCAGCCTTTGTCCACCTTCTTCTGCAATTTGGGGAGCTACCGATAGTTGACAACAAAGGGTGGACCCAAACCTTGGGCCACCCAAGCAGTGGCCTGGGGCCTGGAAGTGAAGACCCATATAAGCTCATCTGATTTCACCATGTAAAAGGATCTGAGCTAAAGTTGGAGCGGCCCAGGGCCTGTCTAAAGTATGGGTCCGCTCCCAACCATATAAATTCTTGTTGAAGAATTCGAAATATTCAGCAAGAAAGAAAAATGGAAGTACAAGACGATGAACATAAAAATTGCGTAGTTCTAAGCACGCATCCAAAAACTGTTTCTGAAAGTGGAAACCATGTGTTTTTTTAAAAAAAAATAATTTAAATTGATAGTGTTGACACTAGGAAACTGGTGGAAAGCCTGCCGCCGGCTAGTAACCTAATGGACTTTGGACGATCACTTATGATTGTTTTTCTTCTTGGTCATTGATCTCATAAAGTTTGTTTCAATCAATGAGATCAGAATAGTTTGTTTCAATCAATGAGATCAGAATATTAATTTCCAATCAGATATTTCCTTTACCAAATTTGTCCATAGAATAGTTTGTCATGTTCGCGTAATTGTAAACACGCATCAATTTCGGTCAGCAATTTTAAATAGGTCGGTTCACCAAAGAGGCTTGTGCAATTAGGATTGTATATATCATACCATTACATATAGATGCTTGAAGATCTGACTTTAAAGGTATATACTAGAAAATAGATGCTTTAAACCCATACACTCAATCAAGCGGCTACTCTCGGGGCATTGATTCCAGGGGTGCCAAGGTGCAAGATCGACGGATCCGGAGATGGCTACCAAACTCCAGCATCTGCCATGGTAAAGGTGGAAGCATGGAGGTCTCGGCATAGCCGTCACGTCTGACCAGCGAGATGGTTGCGGTGGTGTGAGCTTGGCAAGCAGGGCGTTCACCGCCATTGAGGAGTCCAATTGATCAACAAGTCTTCGATAGCACTCCAATATTCACGGAAGAGCCATTTAGTGCGAGTGCCATCGCTTATACAATCAAGTATTGCAGTCACTGCCACCACCATTGCTCCTATTTAATCTCATTGCGTAGCTCAATTCTTCTTTCGATTGTCAACTCCTTATTTGATTTAATCAGGTAAATGATTCCCCTATAAATGTTGTTTGAAACTTTTTTTCCTTCATTAGTTTGACTACAATATTGTCTTGTTTAGTGCTAAATCATTTGAAATGAGACCAGAATTGAAGATACTGGAGTTCTAGAATTGTGTGGAAATAGTTCTTTCTAAATACTTACTCTTGGTCTCTTGGGGAAAGAAAGAGAGACACGTGTCAACATATAATTGTGCATCATCTTAACCAATCAGCGAGCAGCAACCTTGCCGGCTTGAGATATATAAAGATATTGCTGAAACTGCCCGTTATATAGTATAACTACCTAGAATATATAAAAAATGTGACTTTTATCCCAACACTTCCCAATTCTCATGCTACCTCTATCATCTACTAACCCTTAAACCGCACCACACCATCCATTAATGAGGGCATTGCAGATCTTTTACCCTAATCGTTAATTTCTCCAAAACATAGAAAGCTATATTTTAGGACAGACCAAGTATCTAAAGCATATTGTGATTTTCTCTAGGTCAGGAGTGATGTACGTGTGCCCTTGAAGGTACTGCTAGGATCGTTCAACAGTTCTTCACAATTCAGGAATACCAAGAAAACATCACAACAGGCAGATATACGAGGATAATTTTCAGAAGCACTTTCCAGTTTCCTTTGTACAATGGCCATATATCAGTTTAAGACAAACGCAACACCTCCTGCTACATAAGAAGGCCTATTTTGGAACACGGGAATTCCATGGATCCCTACAGGGAAATATACAGCTAAAGCAAAACTCCAACTGAAATTCCCATGTTCCAAACTAAGACTATCATCCCCAAAGAGCATTCACTAAACTGTATAATGTACCAATAGTGATGCCATTAGCTTTAAGTTTTCAGTCTTCTGCCATGGTTTAACTACGGACTTCTCACGCAGCGAATCCACAAAAACCATCATCTGTGTTGGAAAATATTCGTCATTATCATGTGGTCAACCTGCTGTAGTACATGAATCAACACAAAGATAAGATGTTGAGATTTAAGTGTGCTCAATACCAATTTGATATATGGAAGTTACCCTTACATTTTTTGCCATGCCTGCTTCGATAGGACTGCGCTGGTTGGCGAGAACTTGATTGCCTCACCTGAACAGAGTGAAATACAAATGGTCAAGTTATATGTTGGATTGTAACAACAAAATTAAATATCAGAAATCAGGAAACATTTAACAAGTTAGAGGTGTATCCACAGGTTCCACCCAGGTTTAAGGGTGGGAGGAAGATCTAGAGAATTTGCCATAGGAAATCATACCTGACTACTGATTGGTGTTCCTGTTAGTCCATAATAAAAAGCTGAAAATGCGTGATACATTACATATATTATAGTCCATATGGAGGAGTCCTTTATTAATTGTTAGCACCAGACACACTGTATAACATACCTAGGTGTGGAGGATATCTATTGCTGTCATGATAATGTGGCAGAGAAGATTCAGCAGTAGCAGGGGGCAGCGCACCATAGCTGACATAAGAGGATGCAAAATGATTAAGTGAGAAAGAATCCGCTACTCTATTCTGATAAATAATATGACATATGGGGATAGTTTAGAATTTCAGATCACCTTGATGCTGCTGTAGTATAGGTGCTACCCTCATGACGACGACAAGAATGACCTCTCAATGGATAATAAGGATCACCCTGGATTAAAATCAAAACTACGAGATTAAAAGATCAGTATGCAGTTTTTCAAGACGATATGGTTTAACCTACCAGTGTTGAAAAGGGACGCTTCTCTCCAGAATAAATGTGGGTATAATCTTGAACAGGGTATCTTACTGTTTAGAGGACGAAAACATCAGCTGATAGGGATTTTAAAGAGAAAACAATATGGCAAAACTTCAAAAATATATTGTATTGGACGACATGTTAATTGTAGGAGGGGAGCAAACACAATATAATAGGAGCGCACATAGCCAGAGTGGCAGCATGAAACAGCTAGCAGATTTTGCAGCCTAGTGAAAACTAAGACAACACCATCCAACTATGGCTTGATTTTATCAAACAGCTGGTAGGGGCTTCACATGCATTCAGATGGTTTATTTGTTCAGGGGAAACGGTTTACGAAAGACATCTATCTAATTTACACAGGTGAAGTAGATATTAGAGAATATGCTATAAACCAGTCATTACACAGATAAAAAATGTCAGGCATCAGACATCATGAAACCAGCTTCTTTTCCACATAAGAGCAATTGTTTCTGAAAATAAATCTGAGAACTGTTATACAACCTGTCCATTTTGAGAACAAATGCAACATGCATACAATTCACCCAATCAATTAATCAGTTAATAAATAATCATCCACCTTATATTCATTTGCATTTTGCACTAGTTTTATTTTTCGATCTAAGGAAAAGGTCAAGAACATGCAAATGGAGGCAATTGCTTGGTTTCTTGGTCAAGGGTCTGTCGGCCTATTAAATATGGAGGATTATGAATTCATGATTTGACCACTCTCAGTTGGGCCTTCGGTATGTATTGACTTTGGTTGCAGAAAAATGAGCCTCATGACCATGGAACGGTTTGCAAATTCAGATTCACTCAAATGCTAAAGATAAGTTTGATATGGCACTTGTTATGACAATTGGGGTATATCTTGCTCTTTCATTAAAATCTGAAGATTTATGTGTCTTGAGCTATCAATCTTCAGATTATAATGAAGTTGGTTGATTAATGTAGTTAATATTTACATAGGAGAAAGCTGGCAGCCACAGATGGGTCAAACAATTGGAAATAGACGACAAGATGGATGGAATTGGGAATGACTAACTTTTAGAAGTCTTCATTTTGCCTTCCCCAGTAATACTAGATTTATGGTCTTCCTTGGTCTGCTTGCTCTGTTGGGCAGGTTTAGCCAATGAAACTTTAATATTCACCTGGGACACGCCAAAAGATGTAAAAATCCTATCAATTGTAAACTAATACTCTGAATTAATCCAAGTCGAGAAAAGACCTTTGAGCCGTTCTTACTGAACTCTTCCTTGTCAAAAGATTCAAGACACGAGATTGCAGCCTCACGAGTAATGTAATTAATAAAGGCAAAGTCCCTCCTTTTAGCTGACGGCATATCGCGTGACAGAACCACACTTTCAATCTTCCCATGTTTCTTGAAGATTTCTTTTAGCTGAGCATGATCCCAGGACGTTGGTATCCCATCCACAAAAATCGATTTAACCTAGATGGAACAAACAGTGCATCAGAGTACTTAGACTTCCCAGGGAAGCGAAATCAAATATGTTGTTAAGTGTTCAGAACTTCAGATATGATTAAAGGACTTGAACGGGGATATGAATAAAGCCAGGTATGTTAACAAGTGGAAACAAATGGTCGTTAACTTATTTATGTAATAAGGAGGACGACGATGCACTTCGAACCAAGGGCCAAACATATGAAGGTCCAAGAAACATTGTTCATAAAGGACATGGACATACTAGTCAAACTGATTTTTCCATCCAACAGAGTTATGAAACAATTAAGACAGAACAGAAGGAAAGAAATCTCTCCCAAGGTTTGGATAAAGCAACATCATGAATAATATGTCCAGGTCGAAATAGAACAGTTGACATCTGTAAGAACCAATGGTATAAGGACCATAGGATAAAAGGTTGATAGCGAAAAAACTGAACTCTACGATCATCAATGAGGCCAAATCATCAGCAATACAGAGATACAGGGATGCCCTTAAAAGAACAGAAAATTCATTTCGTGTCAGAACTTAAGCATAAACAGTTACAGCTAGTATACCGATGTATATCCAGGATATAATTGTGATAGCAACAGAACCAGTAAGACACAACCTGTGCCTTATGCCAAATGATAGGATAAGTGACAAGAATGCCAAACGTATGACTAGACTGAAAGAAAGTGGAGGTTGTCTTCAAAAGAAAAGGTTAAAACAAATAAGATCATCTGATTTGACATTCATTTGCAGTTTCAGTCTTATTAGAGTCACAAAACCACCATATGCATATGATATGATCTCTATAAAAGCTAAGTGGATGACACACATAGGCAGTATGTTGGAGAGAGAGGGAGAGAGAGACCTGCATATCTTTCTCATCTGGATCATTCAATGGTTCAGCCCATGCAACTCTTATATTCAGGCCTTTGCCAAAAGCATTTTTCTGTGAAAGCTTTTTGTATGCCATCCGTGCATCTCTACTAGTTTCCAGTTCAAGAAATGCAAAACCACGATTACAGACTGGATTATTTGAATCAGACTTAAGTGTTACAGAATCAATGTTCTCAATTCCAATTTTCTTTAGCTGCTTGATGACCTGCTTTGAAGAGCAACATATGAGAATATAAAAATGAAATTCAGGCTAACACCCAATCAAGTCAATCAGAACACAAAAATGAAAATGTTACTCACATCTTCTTTTTTCCATTTCTTGTTGATGTTTCCAAGAAAAATTCTGTCATTCCCAACTGGAACTGCAGCTCGACAGAGCTTCCCACAAATCTGTAGCAGAGTTTCCATAAACAAAATTGGAGAAAGAGGTGTAATAAGTACTATTCATTACAGCAATATGTGGGACTAGAAGACCTGGTCTATCCAAAATTTTCACAAGAAACCATTTTTATCACAGAAAATTGGCACTGCATAATAATAAAGCAACCAAATATATACGAAATACATGTAGAAGTTTATGGATTTGTGCTATGATGAGTCAACCATAACAAATGGTAAACAGGATAGGAATTAAGATCAATGTGGCATATCCCATTAGGGGATGCTGGATCAACTAGTACGACCTGACTCAATAAAATCAATCATGGCATCGTAGAGAGAAGTCACTGGTCCATTTGACAGTGGAAAATTTTTAAGCTCTTGCAGTAAGCTTACATGGTCATTCCATCCGATACTTAACTGAAAAAAGTATCTGTGTACCGGTTGCGATATTATGAAACAAATATGCAGCATTGTCCCGCATTTGATGATTGCACTAATGCACAGGTCATACAGCAATCAGCACTGGTGCGGGATTACAATGATGATAAAATCAAACCAAAAGTGTGATGGCACTACCTTCACATTGCCGAATTCCGCGATGGCCTTCTTCGCCTGCGCGGCGTGGCGGTAGCGCACGAAGCAGTACCCCTTGTTCTTCCCTGCAAGAGGATTCATTATCATCCGGACCTCGGTGATTTCCCCGGCCTTGGCGAACACCGCCCTCACATCATCCTCCTTGGCGTCCCGGTGAAGCCCACCAACAAACACCTCCATGGTCATCCTCTTCCGCCGCTCCGACATCCCCGCCTCCTCCTCCTCCACTCCCTTACCCACCACTAAGGCCACCTCCTCCTCCTCCTTACACACCGATTCTTCCACCACCGCAACGGCATTGCAATCCGTGGCAGGTTTGGATTCATCCAATTTTTGCTCATTCCCAACTCCGCCGTCCTGATCACTTGCTGGCTCGTCGGTTGGGGCTTCTCCCCCTGCCTCCGATGATGCTGCTGCTCCGGAGACCGCCGCAGCAGCAGCAACCGCCGCCGCCGCGGCCTTCCGAGCGGCGAACGTGCCCTTGGGGACGACCTTCTTGACGATGACCTTCTTAACCACTTTCCGAACCTTCCGCGCCGCCGCCGCCGACGCCGGCGACGACGACGACGACGACCTCGCCGCCGCGTCGTCGACAGCGGGAGGCGGCGCCGTCGAGGGCTCCGTGGAGGCGGAGGGCTGAGGCGGCGTCGGCGGTGTCGAGGCGGGGGGGATTGGTAGGGTGGGCTCGACGGCGGGGGTGGGGGGAGGTGGTGGTGGTGGCGGGGTGGCGGCGTGGCGAGGGGCGGGCGTGAAGAGGCGGCGCTTCTTGGGGGGCATGAGCGCGGACGGCAGCGGCAGCGACGGCGGCGGGGAGAACGGCGAGGCGGCGGCGGCGGCGGCGGCGGTGGCGAGATGGCCGGGGACGCAACGGCGCGTCGGTTCCATCGCGTCGCGTCGCGCCGCGCCGCGCGGGGGAGGACGAGTTTTTGTGTGCTTTGGTGGAGGGGTTTCCGAACGAGGCGTCGCTGTCCCGTCTCCTGGTGCGTGTTTATGCGCTGACACATGTCCATGTGCATTTTCTTTCACTTAAAAAAAATCTTTTTTCTTGTTATATTACTCTCTCTATCCGAAATACAAAGAAATGAGAGAGAGGGGTGCATATCCCAATACCATGAATCTGAACCGTACTGATACTCATCATGATATGTTACATCCCTCCAAAATCTTTTATATTAAGGGACGAAGAGATTATGAACCAAATGAGTTTCGGATTTGCTAAAATGATGTCGCCATATTTTATGGCTAATTATAGTTGAATTTCTGACTATCTGATGTTGTTCGGTCCACCTCGGCATCTCTCGGCTATCATAACATGACTAATTAAAACTTAATATGATTCATTAGTTCAAGCTTTTGATGTTTTAACCCACAAGTATCTAATATAGTAGATATTATATCAATATGTGTAATTTACAATGCAAAATATAGAAGTTGCATTGCACTTACATTATAATTACATTGGACTTACATATATAATTTTAGAACTTACATTATGAATACACTAAAATTACATATGTAATTTAGATACTTACAATGTAAATACATATTGATTTTTTTTTAAAAAATATGGCACCATAAATATAGCTACTCCCATGAGTTTTCTTCCCAAAATTCAAAACTATGAACACATTTAGTATTTAGAGTATATTTTACTGTGTCACCTTTTTATTATCAATGTTTCGCTTTGGATCACACTTTAACCATTGTTTTCACTTCAGGTAATCTTACCTTTGTTTCATTTTGGATCACCTCGATACTCTTCTAATGCATATAAACGATTTCGAGTATGCCAGCTTTTATTCGTCAATGAACTTACGTAGCTATATTTACACTATTGTTTGATATACGATAGGTTGATGTAGATAGTTAAAGGTAGTTAAAGTGCCACAAAAGGTAGATTTACAATGTTTAAAGTGAAAAAAAAATTGTGAAAAGGTGGTACAAAACGAAACAACAGTAATAAAAGTAAATTTTACTGTAGTATTTATTAAAAATTAGATCAAAATATAAACACTCGTAGAGTACTACTCAAATAATTCGAAGTACTTCGTATTAGTAGCAGATCATTTAATTTTCTTTTCATATTAGCTCCAACTACCTTCTCACCCACCATACCTCATTTAACCTCATTCTTTTGCTAAAATTTCTAAAGGAGATTTATAGATGATGTACATAGATACATCTATATTGAATTATTGAGACGAAAGGAGTATATTGGAATGGATGTAGTTATGTATGTATTCATCTTTGTTGCGAATATAAACCACTTGTATGATTTTTCTTTTTTTTTTTGGAAATGACACATTTGGCAGAGATAGCCATGCTTGATAACAAGTTTGTTGAGGTGTTAATGCTAGTGACATCGTAGTATCATAAGTAGAGTGAGTAATGAATTACACCTATCATATCATATCATGCATGACGTGTCAACTGTCTAGAGATAACAATTTATAGCACATAAGTTGATGTACGCTTTGTTTAGTTTCCACATAAAAAATTTACACCCTATCACATCGAACGTTTGAACACATGCAAGAAGTACTAAATATATGCTAAAAATAACTAATTGCACAAATTGCGACTAATTTGCGAGACGAATCTTTTAAGCCTAATTGCTCCATGATTTGATAATGCGGTGCTACAGTAAACATTTGCTAATAACGGATTAATTAGGCTTAATAAATTCGTCTGACTGAATAACTGAATAATTTAAGGTACAAACAAATTAATTAACTATTATAGAATTGAAAATAAATTTAAAACAATGTTTTAAGAAATTTATATATATAAGGTTTCTTTTAAAGTGAACCATTTAGAAGTCTAGGAAGCTTGTATATTATTATTCTATTTATTTTTCCCATAGTTGCTTATTGGTTTGCTATCACAAACTCTGCTTAAGTGCTTAGTATTTGCTCTCCCTCCCGGTTTCTCACTTAATCACAAATCAAATGACATCGAGTTTCGTTTTGCTTTATACTCTTTCTTTTTACTATAACACTAATATGTCAATAATATACATAAATTAGTGGTTGAAGGATTCTTAATTGTAGAATTATCTTTTTATTAGGGAAGGTTAGTTTCAAAACTGCAATTATGTAGAAACTTCAGGTGGTGAAAATGATATGGTGTCCTATTTGGTGATGGATGGATGAGTTAGCCAAGTCCTCATGTATATACGTTAATATTTTTGTCCTCTTTGGTATAACTCTGGATCCAATATTCTTTGGAGCTAGGTATTTTTAGCTCTACAAATCCATAGATCTAGATTAATGATTACAGTGGTACTATTTTGATAAATTATTTTGTTCCCAGTTTATATGAATTTTAAAATTTTAGATCACAATTTTACATATAAACTACAAATCTATGGTGGATCTGAGATCTGTAGTTATGCCAAAGAATACCTCATATTGCTGATCCTTTCTCGTATGCTTTCTAATGGAGCTAGTATCTGCAGCTGTATTATCAGAAATACATTTAAATGAGATATGTTTTGTATGACCCAGTTGACGGCCTCACAAACCCTAAACAGGAGGGAACCAAGCCTGAGCTCTAGGCTTGGCTCCTAAATCCCATTCAAATATTCTTAAAAAAATCACATATTTCTTTTTTTTAAAAAAAATAGTAGGATGATTAGGCCGAATATGTCAGTTGAGCCTTAGGCGTGGAGAATTTTAATTTGGCTCTGTCACCACCATCAGGAATTGAAGCAGGGAAATGAGAGCTATAACCGTTGAATAACCTCTCAAAAAATCCCTGAATTTTAGCTGCATGAGCAGCTTAAATGTGGGATCAATATTCATTAAGCTCAAGTTACTAACTTGAAAAATATACAGCATGTGTGTGTTGTTTTGAACTCTAAAAATACCTAGACGGAGTTATGCATTATTGAAAACATAACATATGAATGCAAACTTATACTAGAAAAACCCATGAATTCTAACCTTAGTGGTTTTTCACCAATATTTCTAATAAGGGGTCAACCTTTGGAAGATGAGAACTCTACCATTTGAACACATGAATAGTGAAAAATCAAACTATTAAAGCTTGACGGGCTAGGGCCATAACTGAGCATTGCCACGTCAGATTATTGTACAATTATACTACTCTAGCAGTACATACACTCTTGGCTGTGTACTGTTGTACGAAACGGAGAGTCCAAAGTAGTAGACTGTCCATATAGTTCAGTTTGATGGATTTCACCCGGAGATACACCGTACGATTTAATTGTAATAATACATAGAACCATTTGTTTTTTTTTTGAACTGAAGAACCATTTGTTTTTCATTTACTTTTACTTTAAAACATGGACAATGAATTTGTTTTTGAACAGGGCTTGAAACTCTTAACTCCGAGCAAATGAAAATTCAAACAGCAGTGGATTCAATATTCAACTCGAAACCCCTCCTTTTTTTCAACTAAAAAGTCCGCAAAACTTCCCAATAATTAAACCGTGAAATTTCAGCGAGACCTGTATTTAAAAATATGGGCCAAATTCAAAATCCAAAGCAATAAACAACTGGGCTACACACAACATGCGACGGCCCATCTCATCAAGCAACAAGGCCCAGCCCACTCGACACCCACCGAATCCACGCCGCTCAATCGAAACCGACGGTCCAGATCTCGCCGCGCCAACCCCATCACACAAACCCTAGCAACCCCCCACCTATATAACCTCTCTCCCTCACGCCCCGCCTCCATTCGCACGCCCGCGCCACCACAAAACCCTAGCCGCCGCCGCCGCCGCCGCCGCCGCCGCCATGGCCACCCAAACCCGCCCCCTCGTCTCCGTCAAGGCCCTGGAGGGCGACATGGCCACCGACAACAGCAGCAGCCTCGCCCTCGCCGAGGTGTTCCGCGCGCCGCTCCGCCCCGACGTGGTCCGCTTCGTCCACAGGCTGCTCTCCTGCAACAAGCGCCAGCCCTACGCCGTGTCCCGCCGCGCCGGCCACCAGACCTCGGCGGAGTCGTGGGGCACGGGGCGCGCCGTGTCGCGTATCCCCCGCGTCCCCGGCGGCGGGACGCACCGCGCCGGGCAGGGAGCCTTCGGCAACATGTGCCGCGGCGGGCGCATGTTCGCGCCGACCAAGACATGGCGCAAGTGGCACCGCCGCGTCAACGTCCACCTCCGCCGCGTCGCCGTCGCCTCCGCCCTCGCCGCCACCTCCGTCCCGTCCCTCGTCCTCGCCCGCGGCCACCGCATCGAGACCGTCCCCGAGCTCCCCCTCGTCATTTCCGACTCCGCCGAGTCCATCGAGAAGACCTCCCAGGCCATCAAGATCCTGAAGCAGGTCGGCGCCTACGCCGACGCCGAGAAGGCCAAGGACTCCGTCGGCATCCGCCCCGGCAAGGGTAAGATGCGCAACCGCCGCTACATCAACCGCAAGGGCCCCCTCATCGTCTACGGCACCGAGGGATCCAAGATCGTCAAGGCCTTCCGCAACCTCCCCGGCGTGGATGTCGCCAACGTCGAGCGCCTCAACCTGCTCGACCTCGCACCCGGTGGTCACCTCGGGCGCTTCGTGATCTGGACCGAGAGCGCCTTCAAGAAGCTTGAGGAGGTGTATGGCACCTTCGAGGCGCCGTCGCTGAAGAAGAAGGGGTTCATCCTGCCGAGGCCCAAGATGGCCAATGCTGATCTTGGCAGGATCATCAACTCTGATGAGGTGCAGTCTGTGGTGAAGCCGCTCAACAAGGAGGTCAAGCGCAGGGAGAAGAGGAAGAACCCGCTCAAGAATGTCGCCGCTGTGCTCAAGCTCAACCCCTACTTCGGCACTGCACGCAAGATGGCCACCCTTGCTGAGGCTGCCCGCATCAAGGCCAGGAAGGAGAAGCTTGACTCCAAGAGGACCAAGCTTAGCCCGGTATAACTTACTCTCCTCTCAATTTTGTTGATTCAGTTATTATAAAATGATGACTAGGTTGTAGAATAATCCGATTAGCTATGTAGATCTATAGTTGACTCTCATGGTAACAAGAACAACCATTTGGATGCTTGTCTAATGTGTTAGCTGGTACTGCTTTGGATGATCTATTTGTTTAGATGACATTCTAGTTTACTTAGTTAGCCTGCACTTGCTGTTTGTGCTGCTATGTTGCTTCATGGGCTGTTAATTTGTTAGTATTGCTCGGAATTGATACTACCTGGTGTTAATTCTTGCTGTTATTAGGTACATTCGTTTCTATATTCATGCTTCTAATGTGCCATTTTCTCCATGTTTAGTTGAGTAGTATTTTGTTCTATGATCTCTCTGGTAAGCCAAGGTTGTATTACTTGTTATAAGTTATTGACCTCATTGTTGTAGCTCAGTGTCTGTCTTATTTCTACATTGTGTTCCTAGAAGCCTTTGAATGTGTTAATTGATTCATGATAACATACAGTTGTGCAAGGTCATTTAGTTATTTTTCTTAAATTATGTCTCTATGCATTCAAGTTTAGGTTTCATGTAATGTTAATATTCTAGATTGGCTCCTTGTCCTTGGTGAAATGGTGGCTGAGTTCTTGGCATTAGAAGGTCATTTATTTGGCTGTGTTTTATATTTATCATAGCATGTGTGGTTTGTTGTTGACTTGTCGTAGCTGTTTATTTACACTGATCTTAGGTTCTACTATCATTTTTTGTCTGGTTTATTCTGCCATTGATATTTCATTTGCTGTATTGCCCTTAGTGTTTTTAGTGGGATACTTGTTTAGTCCTCAACCATTTGGAGACTTCAATCTCTTGGTGCCTTTTGTTCTAACTGAAAATTCCTGTTGATTCATTGTAGGAGGAGGCTGCTAAGGTTAAGGCTGCAGGAAAGGCATGGTACAAGACCATGATCTCAGACAGTGACTATGCTGAGTTCGACAACTTCTCGAAGTGGCTCGGAGTGACGCAGTGAGCGTTGTCTTGTTTTAAGTTTTGAGTAGCAGCGTTACCGGATCTTATCTCAAGGATTTATCAATCTGTTTTTACCTGAACATCTCCATAAGAAGTTATCTGTGGGATTTTGAGACTAGTTTCTCTGTTTTGTTAATGTGCTGTCGTGAGAACATAGAGTATGTGGTTTGGACCAGCTATCTAAATTATGTATGCACTTCCATGTTCTCTGTGATGTCCTGTATTTTGATGCTGTGATCTTGTATCGCTGTATCATATTGTTCTAGGGCTCATGGCTTACTCGGTCACCATGGCGCTGATTCCATTCACAGTGTTCAGCCTACTTAAACATATTTGCAATTTTGGTTAGATGAGTTTGTTGTGAAATCTGGTCAGTGGGCATGCCTAGCAAGCCTAAATCAAGTTGAGCGAGCCTCAATCTTATCTTGCTTTTGGTGAGGAAAATGTTGTCTGTTTTGTGGTTGTGTTAGTTGAGGAAAATATGGTCGTGCCATTGCTTTAATCCTGGAATCACTGTGATGACTGACTGAAACGAGTTTGCTAGTTAACCAAACTCTGTTACCGTCAATGATTGAGGAAGAAGTCTTGGCTCGTGCTGTTGCAGAAATTGCACGGGATTGAATCAGTGGCAACTTGAGTTCTGGATGAATTTTCTTCCAAACAAAACCTCGACAGTTCGACTGTGCTGGCAACCACTGTTCCTTGGTTTGCATTCTGTTTTGCGGGACCGCTTAGCGTTACGACAAATTTAGGGCCTGTTCACTTTGATGACATTTTCAACCTTACCAAATTTTGGTAAAGTTGCCAAAAAAGTGGCTACATTTAGTTTGCTACCAAATTTTGGTAACTAATGAAATCTTGCCAAAATTTTGGCATAGTTGTCAAAATTTCAGCAATACCAAAATTTAGTAAGGATTTTTTTTAAGTATCAAAGTGAACATGCCCTTAGCAAAACACTGAAACTTTGTCCGAAATTTGATCCAAAACGAACGGTTTGAGGAAGCTTCGGACGGAATTCGAACTAACGCCGTGTTTAGTTCCAAATAATTCTTCAAACTTTCAACTTTTCCATCACATGAAAACTTTCCTACACACATAAACTTCCAACTTTTCATCACATCGTTCTAATTTTAACCAAACTTCTAATTTTAGTGTGAACTAAACACAACTAAGACTGTTTAGTTCAACGCAAAGTTTAGATTTTGGTTGAAATTAGAGATGATGTGATTAAAAAGTTGTGTGTGTATGACAGGTTGATGTGATGAAAAAGGACTGAAGTTTGGATCCAAACCTTGCATCTAAACAGTAAACACAGCCCAAATTCGTAAACCGTCGGGTTCATTCACTTCACCCCGCGTCAAACACGCAACGGACCGGAGCGCGCCGCGAAGCCAGCTCACTCGGTCAGTCGCGCACGTGGCCCCACTCCACCGGCCACGTCACCCTCCACGTCATCAAAAGCATCCTCTCCCTCCTACTCTCCCCTCGTCTACTACTACTTCACCTCGCAATCTCCGCCCAAATCCAACGCCTCGTCTGAACACAAAACCCCGTAAAAATCTCCGCCTCCGCCACCGCCACCGCCGCCGACGCCGCCATGGCCGCCACCGCCGCCGCGGCCCACACCCTCCTCCACCTCGCGGCCCCGAGGAAGCCCTCCGCGGGGCCCCCACTCCCGCCCGCCACCCTCCGCCTCCCCAGCCGCCGCCTCGCCCGTCTCACGGCCAGCTGCAGCAGCGGCTCCGGGAACAACAGCGCCGCCGACTTCCCCAACCCCAACGGGATCCTCGTCGCGCCCCCGTCCGCCGCGGCGGTGGCGGCGGCGTCGTCGCATATCGATGTTGACGTGGCGACGGAGGCCGACCTGAGGGAGAACGGGTTCCGGAGCACGCGGCGCACCAAGCTCGTCTGCACCGTGGGGCCCGCCACCTGCGGCGCCGACGAGCTGGAGGCGCTCGCCGTCGGCGGGATGAACGTCGCGCGCGTCAACATGTGCCACGGGGACCGGGAGTGGCACCGGGGCGTCATCCGCGCGGTGCGGAGGCTCAACGAGGAGAAGGGGTTCGCCGTCGCCGTCATGATGGACACCGAGGGGAGCGAGATCCACATGGGGGACCTCGGCGGCGCCGCCGCCGCCAAGGCGGAGGTGAGCTTAGCTGCCGCTGGATTCTGCCTTTGGCATTGCCGCCTTGCTAATTTGCTTTCATGCGTTCGATGGAATTCGGCGAGTACCGCGTGCGTGGTGCTAGCAAGTACGTGAATTCATACTACTAGTGAGTAGGAATGCGTGCTTTATTCGACTTGGAATTCGGATAAAGAAGATGTCCTGACACCGTGACTCGGTAGATCTAGATTTGAGCTCAGGTTCATGTTTGCACAGTGAAGGGGAACACTAGTATTGTTATGGAATATTCTTCCATGAAATGCTACTAGCACCCAACATTCCCTGGAGTGGGGATACCAGTTTGGATTTTGCGCAACTTTATCGCAAGTTGGGTGATAACATGAATCCAGATTCTACTGCAGAGAATATAAGAGATGCTCAGGTAGATGCAAAAGAGAGAGCCACATCATAATCTCACTTGAGCAAGTGCTCCAGCCCCTTCTGGGACTACCATGTTATAGACCTGTCAACAAGCTAAATTAACCACCTATTTAAGCGTGTAACCATTCCAAGTGCTGGCCTCCTTGTTAACTATTGAATACTCTGCAACTTTTCATGCTATTGTCCACGCTGGTAGAGAAACACAGTTAGTTTGGCCTAATTGTCAGCTATGTATGTGTTTTGTACATGGCCCAACAGGCTCTTGTTCCTGTAATGTCAGCCTATAGTGTAAATCTTGCTTTCCAGCTGAAAAAGGAACACCGCATCTGAATTTTGTTTATTAGATTCAGCAGAAGCATGCAGGCATCTGTAGTTTGAGTTTTATTGACTTGGTTTGGCAGTCATAAGCTCTGTTCTTGCTCTAGTAAAGAATTGAAGTTTCACATTAAAAAAAGGGTAAAGAAATTGAAGTTAACAATATCTGATGCTCCAAAGTTTCTGTATCACCTATGTCAATGAACCATGACATAATCTTAGAGATTAATGAATTCTCTCATATGACTGGCTCACCACTCTCAAAAATAAGATTCTTGCATAATTTTTTTCATTTGAAACATATTACAAGTGGCTTGACCGCTATCTAGCACTCCCTCCTAGTCATATCCAATGATAACTACTTTACTTTTTCTAGCCATGCCTTTTATTGGTTCTTTTTGGGTTTTCCTAGTGGCAATATGCCCCTCTAATAGTTATTTATTTTAATCCTTTTTTTTTCTTTTGTTGGATTTCACAGGATGGAGAAATATGGACATTTAGCGTAAGATCCTTTGAGGCACCTCCCCCAGAACGAACTATTCATGTGAACTACGAAGGCTTCGCTGAAGGTTATTTTCAAGCAGATCTCTTCTGTTGGTCTTATTTATATTTCTATTCCCCTCTGTAATGTGTTTTTTGAACACTACACAGATGTGAGAGTTGGTGATGAGCTTCTTGTTGATGGTGGCATGGCTCGGTTTGAGGTGGTTGAGAAATTAGGACCAGATGTCAAGTGCCGTTGCACAGATCCTGGTTTGTTGCTGCCACGTGCCAATCTTACATTTTGGCGGGATGGTAGTATTGTCCGTGAGAGGAACGCTATGCTACCTACCATTTCATCAAAGGTAAATTCACTAGCATGGCAAATTTGTTGCTGCAAGCCTGTAATCAAAAAGTAGGCTGAATGGTTATGTCATTTTGTTGCACAAACAGTTCATGTTTTACATGTTACTACTGAGGTCAGCCCAAATGAATTACCTGGTTTACTCAAACCATTGTGTTGTAATAGTGAATAATATCTGCATATATTCGAAAAAGTCCACCATCCATTTCTTAGAAAGCTTTATGTGGACTGTTACCAAGAGTTATTGTTGTTGAGAAATGATGATTCTTATTTCTGTGCAACTTCTGCAGGATTGGCTTGACATAGACTTTGGAATTTCTGAAGGCGTAGATTTTATTGCAGTTTCGTTTGTCAAATCTGCAGAAGTAATTAACCATCTGAAAAGCTATATAGCTGCAAGGAGCCGTGGCAGGTAAGATGAGTATAAATACTCTCTTCTTGATTGAGCTCATACCTCCATGAAGCTAAGTACATGGTTTGATGGTTGAACTGATGGCACCATATGTATGACTAATACTGTAACTATCCAACTCTTGTGCATTTGCTGCTTTTGGTTCTTGTCCAATTCTGTGGTACCAGTTGGGTAAGCTTTTCAGTCAGCTACCCCTCAGATGATCAGCTTAGTATGAACGCACTGTTTTTAACTAGTTATTACTTAAATGTTGAGTTAGCCATAACTTGCTATAGTGTCAACTCTTTTGCACCAACAATCTTGGTTTTTATTAGGACATGGTCTCTTTGTTGTTAGTTTCTCCAATCAATTTTTTCGATTTGTAGTAGAGCCAAGTGGACTATGGCAGTAAGTTCTGATGTGTTGAAGATTGTCTTGGTTGCTCCATACCTGTTCAAACAAAAAAACTGATCAATATATTATTTTGTACTGTTTCTAGTTTAGATTTGCAGTAGTGTAGTAATTCACTTTTAGGTTGCTTTACGTGTATTCTTTTATTTCTAGAAGAGTGAACATGATTAATAAAATGCATGAATTTAGATGGCTTAAGAAAATGGACCATACAAATATATCGGTATAGTGTATAGTGTTTATATGTCCCAAAGAACCAAGAAATATTACATATATTTCTATTAAAAAAGCTAGGCATTGCATTCCCGAAATATTAGTTTCCTTTTTGCTAACCTTTATGGTTATTGTATATTGTCACTCATCAGCGATATAGCAGTCATTGCCAAGATCGAGAGCATTGACTCTTTGAAGAACTTGGAGGAGATAATCCGTGCTTCAGATGGTGCCATGGTAGCCCGAGGGGATATGGGTGCACAAATTCCCTTGGAGCAAGTCCCCTCAGTACAACAAAAGATAGTTAAACTGTGCAGGCAGCTCAACAAGCCAGTCATTGTTGCGTCGCAGCTTCTTGAATCGATGATTGAGTATCCTACGCCCACCAGGGCCGAGGTTGCTGATGTTTCTGAAGCAGTTCGTCAGCGTGCAGATGCGCTTATGCTTTCAGGTGAGTCAGCAATGGGGAGATATCCAGAGAAAGCTCTTAGTGTCCTCCGGAGTGTTAGCCTAAGGATTGAGAAGTGGTGGAGAGAGGAGAAGCGCCATGAGGAACTGGAACTTAAAGATGTTTCATCTTCCTTCTCTGACAAAATATCAGAAGAAATCTGCATTTCGGCCGCTAAAATGGGTAACCACTGCCAACTCTACTTCTATTGTTGGACTGCTGCTGTATATATGAATCGTTTTTTCGCTGTTACTTCTTTTTGTTATTGTGCATTGCCATGGTTATTATCAACTCAGACTACTGAATTTTGCCATTTGCATATCTGGGCAAGGCCTAACCACAGCTAATTTGAGTTGCAGCCAACAAATTGGAGGTAGATGCCGTTTTCGTCTACACAAACACTGGCCACATGGCCTCACTGCTCTCGCGGTGCCGTCCTGACTGCCCGATCTTCGCCTTCACGACCTCGACATCTGTGAGGAGACGATTGAACCTCCAATGGGGCCTCATCCCCTTCCGCCTCAGCTTCTCGGACGACATGGAGAGCAACCTGAACCGTACCTTCTCGCTGCTCAAGGCCAGGGGCATGATCCAGTCCGGCGACCTTGTCATCGCGCTCTCCGACATGCTGCAGTCCATCCAGGTCATGAACGTACCTTGAGAATCATCATGCTCCCCTCTCGTGTTTGTTTGTTCTGCCCAAAACGGAACACGGCTTTAGTTGACATCATCTTAAGGGCGGTTTTCTGGTTTGAAATTTATTCGTTTGTTCTCCATTGTGTTAGACGACAGAACCAGAGAATGTTACAACAATAATGCTGCAACTTCCAGCGCGTTGTAAACTCTATGCTATTTAGCCTGATGTATAAGGCCATGAACTGTTTTGTCGCTTACTATGATAGGCTATGTATTTACCAATAAACCCTTCTATTTAAGCTATGTAAGAATTTTCCTCATCAGAAATTACTCCTTGCTAGAGCCCAGTAAAGATTCTTTAAAAACTCCTTGCACATCAAATTAGAACTGAGTAGTTTTACTTTCATATGGACTTTGGCCAAACTAGTCACTAACCTTTTGAGTGAAATTTTTACCTTTTTTTTTTGGACATGTATGTATGCAGGGTATTAGTTGACCTGATGTAGCCATGAATAGTTTTTGCATTGGTACGTTTGTTTGAATAGTTTTTGCATTGGTACGTTTGTTTGGCATCTGTCACAACCCACAAGTAGGACGCTAGCAACGACATAAAAATATTTTATTGGGGCGTGAAAAATGGGAGAATTATGTTCGCAAGAGGGTTTGACCAGGTAGTCATGACATTCTTATGCTAATCTCAAGTCTCAGCCATATATCAAACATCTTAATGCACACTGCAACGTGTTACGTGAGTCTCCTGCTACCGCTAGTCTCCCAAGTCTACCAAATACTTGACCCGTTTTTAAATACACTCAGTTTGAAACCCTCCGTTCTAAATTAAGATGTTTTTGTTTTTTTACCAAGTCAAGCTTTTTTTAGTTTGACCATATTTATAGAAAACATAACTGCGTTTTTAGCACAAAAACAAGTGTACTATAAATATAGCCAGTAATGGATTTAATGAATTTGGTGTGTTACTACGTATTTCTATGAGCTTGCTGAAGAAATCTGACTTAGAACAAAAGACTAAAACATCTTACAACCTAGAAAGTAGAAAGAGTACTTATTAGCATATTCTTTCCAAAATCAAAATTTAACACCGCCGCAAATTTTGAACATGATATTCTGTCAAAATATTGTATTTCCAATTTTTTTTTCATGGCCAAATTCAAAATAACATTGAAGGTACTAACAAGTAAATGAGAACGAGATAGTAAATATATTATTAGGGGCGTGAATAAAAAAGTTGAACACAGGGTTACCCTACTGTTGTTTGGGGGTTACCGCTACCCCGTGGTTGGCGGTTACCGTAGTAACCACAAAAAACCGTGTAAAATTTACCTCAAAAAATTTGAATTAAAAAATCGGTTGTTTTGGCACAGTTACTGCATGGTTTCTAGCGATAACCACAATATTCACATGGTTATTGCCGGTTGTATAGCAGAACACATCTTAACTAGTGAAAACTAAATCACACGATGCATCAAGGAATGTGCCACGCCTTCAAAATAGTGGCTCTGTTCGGTTGCAATTTTTATTACTATACTGCAGTCAATAGGAACAGTGTTTGTACTGCAGTCAATAGGAACAATGTTTTGTATTGGCAGCTGCAGCAGTGCAGCCGCTGCATATAACAGCCGAACAGACTCAATATTAATTGTCAGATATGCTAATAGTGAAACGACATATGTCGTTGGATAAACATAGATTACAAAACTACAGGTGCTGGTAAATCTTCATGAGGCTTCCAGAGTCTCCAAATCCAAACTGAGATAAATCGGTGAGGAGAGAGATGTGCAATACTGTAAGCTGAGGACATATGTCAATGCAATTTTGTAATTTGATCCTTCCATAAAATTCATTATATATATAAGCTCTTAATTTAATATATCTTTGATTTCTTGAAATGGTCGCATTGTACTACCTTCTCAACATATAAGAAGTTTAGGATTCAATACGGATATTTAAAAAATAGGTAAAATTCAATGATAGTAGATTACGATTGATTGAAATGAGGAAAACTGGTGGAATGTTGTAATTGGTTATTTACTCAATTTTTTATGGATTTTTTTTACAATTTTTGACCATGTATAATAGGCGGGTTTGAGTCACGCGAATGCGTGACTTCGTAGCCTAGTGAAATTGAAATTTCACTAGAAAAAATTCGAAAAAAACACTTAAATGTGTGCATAAATTGGGGATAATTGGAATAATATATCTAACTTTTGGGGTGTAAAATACAAAAATTCGGCATTAATTTTTCTATATTATGGACTTCAAAGCAATTCAACATTTTATAGCATAATAGCATTACTTGCATATTGCTACCATATTTCACACGAGCAACAAATGACCCATTATTATTACAATAAATATCCATCCCTAAACATGAGCATATCTACTCACCCAACAAATAACATATCACCTCTACAAAACCATTTTCCGCATCACTAGCAAACCATTTTTCACCTATTCACAAAATTTCAAATCTCAACAAACATCAATCTTTCACAATGTATTTGACCTAAACCCAATACATTTTTTCTTTTTCTAATTTCTAAACTATTTTTGATTTTGCCCTCAAATTTCAATTTATATTACTCTATTTCCAAAAACTTCTTCACCATCTGCCACTAAAAATCAAGAACTACATCCATGAATTCTTTTGATTTTTTTTGGAATTTTCAATTTGCTCGAATTTCATTCAAACCATATCGCGGAAAACCGTTACTGTGCCCCGACGGTAACCGCAATTATTGCGCGATAAGGTAAACTCTGATTGAACGATGTAGTATGAAATCTGATACTCCATCCATCATAAAAATATAACACATATATAAGGTAGAGTCTCTCTACCTTTTTGCTTAAAAAATATAACACATATATCTCTATAAGTGAATGGTGAATCCCAAGAATTAACTAGGATGAGCCACATAATCAACAAAATAATAGCCACTGGATCCACATGAAGACAAAATAGAAAGAAGAAATCTGAGCCATTGGATTCACTTTATCTAGAAACTTCCTTAACCTACTAAAAAACTAGTAAGGTTATGGATATGATTTTACAATGTACACTTTTATTTAAAAAACTATTTTGCAAATATACCCTATTACTCTATCTATGCAACTTTCCTTTGAGGAAAAAAATACAAATAGATCATTGACCTATATTTAGAAATATTCAACAAATGTTGTGCATATAATTTTACAACTCTCACGGTTTACAAATAAACCTCATTTTTTAATAAAGATTAATATGATCCAACTAAGCTTTATATCATTCAAAGTTATATATATTAGTGATGAGCATATATATGTGTGTGTGATATGCTGATGTAACTATTAGTTATGCACCCATTAAAGATGTTATGATTAATCATCATTACAAATTTAAGCTTATTATTGCTACCACAATCTATAGACATATTTAATAGAGAGGGAGTTTATAGTTGCACAATGCACAACTTAATATAGGATGAACCACATAATCAACAAAATAATAGCCACTGGATCCACATGAAGACAAAATAGCAAGAAGAAATCCGAGCCATTGTATTCACTTTATCTAGAAACTTCCTTAACCTACTAAGAAAAAACAGTAAGGTTATGGATATAATTTTACAATGTACACTTTTAATTAAAAAACTATTTTACAAATATACCCTCTTATTCTATCTATGCAACTTTCCTTTGAGGAAAAAAAATTTACAAATAGATCATTGACCTATATTTAGAAAGATCCAACAAATGCTGTGTATATAATTTTACAACTCACACGGTTTACAAATAAACCTCATCTTTTAATAAAGATTAATATGATCCGACTAAGCTTTATATCATTCAAAGTTATATATATTAGTGATGAGCATATATATATGTGTGTGTGTGTGTGTGTGTGTGTGTGTTGTGTGTGTGTGTGTTGTGTGTGTGTGTGATATGCTGATGTAACTATCAGCTATGCACCTATTAAAAATGTTATGATTAATCATCATTACAAATTTAAGCTTATTATTGCTACCACAATATATAGACAGTATTTAAAAGAGAGGTAGCTTATAGTTACGTGATGCACAACTTAATATACTAGTATACTTGAGTAGATACAACCTAATAAAAGATTTGGTACTATATTTTTTTATAGTACTATATGGTATATATCACTATATTTTATTTTATGTTGGAGGAAGTATTCATAGGAGGATATTTCATCTCGAACCTATATTAATGAATTGACCTGCAGCCGGTCTGAGTCGAAGGAGGTATTCGTCATGGACTATGACTCCTTCTACGAGTCTCCTGCAAATCTCGAGTCTCAGCCGTCTAACCAAACATATTAATGCACACTGCAATTGACTTCTGTTGCTAGTCCCCTCTAGTCGTCTCGCCCGTCCACCATATTAGTGCACACGCTCATCATGAGTAATGACAATTGATCCATTGAACCAGGGGTTAGCTAGACGTGTTTTTTTTTCTCAAAACGGATTAGGAATCATGCTTCTCATCTTAATTTGTTCATCGGCATTTCTTAAAAAAATATTTTCTAAATCGACTTTTCAAAATTTAAAATATATTTCTTTTGTTTGTTCCTTCAAATTAATTTCTACAACAGAAAATTATAAAACTTTATAGTTATTTTGGGTTGGTAATCATCCTATATAATAAAGAACGATCCAACGGCTATGGTATTCTTGATGATGTGTCTACATGTAATTGCAGATAAATGAGGCTAACTTGTATAGGAATAGTATATTTGGTCAAGCTAAAAGAAGTGACACGTGAAAATATAAAATTTAGATATGGAACAAAAGGATTGGAAGATTATTCAGAGCTGAGAAAAAACTACAATAACCCGATGGTGAAATTTTTAATTAATATTTTAACATCTTGAAAAGTTTGCTTATAGATTCAGATGGTGGTAACTCGAAGCTAATAAACACAGGAGTGAGTGCAATTCACTGGTTTAACATATAAAATGTTACATACACGTGGTTTATTTGCCTATTAAAGAAAGTTGAAAAAATACCTAAAAGTTTCAAAGCAATTTAAATTTACAGAAGAGTTGAGATTTGCTAAAACCACATACATGTAGAATTGGAGGAACTATTAACTTTGCATGGAAGTGCATGCATGTGGGCTGGGGATACATTAATGCCTACACCCTCTATTTTGCAAGTTATAAACATTCATGGAAATTTTAGCAGAAATTAAGACTAAAGTGAGAAATAATTGTGATTGCTTGAAATGAGAATGTAAATTAATTAATTTAACAAGAAATAATTATAATTGGATGAGACAAACGAGTAGATGGAGAAATGTGAAATCCTATAACACTTATATTT